TGATCTACAATATATTGCGAGTTCTAGGCCAGCTAGAGCTACATAATGAGACTTGCCTCACAAAAAAGAAAATTCTAGTAGTAATTTGATGCTTGCTATGGGAAGCAGAGGGCAGGGGAGTGAGTTTTCATACTGGCTCATGCAGAGTGTTGGGAAGGCCAGACACTGGAGGTGGGGAAACCTGGGTGACTGTTCAGCAGTAAAGAGGCCTCTCAACACAAGAACAAGGAGAGAGGTTGAGAAAGACAGGACAAGTCCCATAGGCCCTCCTTGGATGGCAAAAGTCACAACTTTACTGTGGGCACAGTTGGAGGCCATGGGTTTTGAGCCAGCTCCAGGCCAGCAAACACCTTCTTTAAGGGCTAGGAAGAATTTCAGGTTTGGTAGTCAGTGTCTGTCGCTACTCAGATATCCCTGTATTCAGGAAGAACAGCTATAGAACTGAGTGGCACATTCAAGTTTATTTATGGATGGTGGCATTGGAATTTCATGGTTCTTGACATTAAATATCCTTCCTTTGATTTTTGGCAACCATTTAAAAACGTAAATGCCATTCTTAGCTTAGGAACGCTACAGAAACTTCCAGCAGGGTCAGATCTGGCCTTATAAATCCAAGTTTGCCTTCCTGCCATAAAAACATACCTGACTACTGCTTTAAGAACAGACTGGGGGTTGGGGGGAGGTCACGGTGGTTAGTTTTATCTACCAGCTGACTGGCAATGGGCACCCAGGTCAAGCATTTTTAGTTTAATTTTATTCAAAATGCTTTTCATTTATTATTTATTTGAGACAGGGTCTATATGCCCTGGCTGGCCTGGAACTTATTTATACCAGACTGTCTTCAAACTCACAGATTCACGGGTGCGCCAACATGCCTAGCCTTCATTTATTTTGGATGTTTATGTGGGGGGGGTGCATGCCACAGCACATGTGTGGAGGACAACACACTGGAGTTGGTTCTTTCATCTCACCATGTGGATTCTAGGGATCTGACTCAGGTCATTAGAGCCGGTGACAAGTGTCCTTACCCACTGTGCCTTCTCACCAGCTGTGATCAAGCATTTTAAGGGCAGACTTGATCCTCTAAATAAGGGGAGAGCCACAGTCTCCAGAGGCTTGATTTTGTTCTAGAAAACAACATTCTGGAAGCAAAAAAGGTGGCAGGTAGCTGGAGGTGGTGGAACAAAGCTGTTTAGACAATGGTCTGGCTCTGTACAAGGGGTGGTGTTGACAGGATACATCTGCAGGAATGTCCATCTTTTCACCTTACATGACTATTTTATTTGCCCAGTGCTGGGGGTTGAACCCAAAGCCTACGGCATGCTAGGCAAAGCACTACAGGACCACGTGACACACCAGCCTTTTATGTGGCATTTTAAAGCACTCCCTCAGAAGGGACCCACTTGTATTGCACACTGCATCTGAAGATCATAAGCAGCTCAGAGGAACTTTATTCACCTACAACCCAAACAGCATTGTCTCAGCACTGGGTTAAGCCTGCAACTCCCTGTTTCCACGGCAACTTCCCAGCTTTCATCACTGTAGCCCCAGAGCATGGATTCTGCTCCTGAATTCCTAATGGTTGATTCTCAGCCCTCAGAGTGCTTAGCTTTAAACATTTTGTATGAACTTCATCTACCACCATTTTCTGTAGGCCCTTCACATTCCCAGTGCCAAAGGAAGTGTTCTCCCAATGAGAACTGTTCAGTGGGGGAGGTGAGACTCTAAAATGAGTGACAGAACTGACGTGGGCCTATAATGAAGGTGCTGTCAGGGATCTAAGTGGTTATGAGCAGCTCCCTTACATGTCTGGACTGTGCTCATTCCTTGACACCCTCACCCATGTGCGTCACTTACATTGGCTGGCTATGAAGGCAGGGGAGAGCTTTAGTGATATTTGAAGCCCTGCACACCAGGGCATGCCCTGCTCGGCCACTTTGCAACACTCCACTCTTATAGTCCCAAGCCTAACTACAGCCACGACACCCTGCTGGGGCCAAGTCTGAATCGTTTTTCTCAGTAAAAGAAAAATGCTCCAAATCTCCATGACACCCTTTCCCAAAGCATCCACTGACCCCACTAGTGTTAGGAAGCCACCACTAAAAAGGCCAAAGGAAGCTCAGTGTGGGCCTGAATTTCATTTGTAACAGAAGAGGCTATCTGCCTGTGTTTCCAACTGCCTTCTTGACCTTAAATTCCTGGGGGAATGGGATGTACTGCTAAAGTCCCTTAACAGGAAGTCTCACCTGTTACATATTCCTTGTCTCATCACCACCTCCCCTATTTGTCCTAAAACGTACTTGGTTTCTTTTCTAAGTAATAAAGTACCCTATGCAGAACTTGAATCCTCCTGGCATCTATGAACTCGCCCTTCCTCCACATTCCAACCAGCTGGCCAGATAAGCAGTCTTTTCTTTGACTATCTTCAGGTCTGGAGTCTGGAGTAGCTATCCACTTGGCCTGCCAGAATCTGCAGGGATGGGGGAACACCCTCATGCCCACCCTCACCCTCCTGTCTTCAAGGACACACAGGGGATACTGTGAGCGAAGAGCCTGCTGATGAGTCTGGGCAGGGGCACACAATGCTGTTCTGCCCGGTAGCAGACTCAAGGCGTGCACTACATCTGGCCTTATTTTACATTTTTATTTTAATTATACGGGGAAGGGATTGGTATATGCATGTGAGTGCAAGTGCCTTCAGAAGCAGAGGCACAGCATCCCCTAGAACTGGAGCTACAGGTGCTGTGAGCCACCCGATATGATGTCAGGAACTCAAGTTCTGTGACCAGCAGTACCTCTTAACCAATGAGACATTATCTGCAGCCCTGGTCTCATTTTTTAATGTTTCTTATTCAATATCCTTTAAAAAATATTTTATTTTTATTTTATGTGTATGAGTGTATTGCCTGCATGTGTATGCACCTTTGTGCAATTCCCATGGAGGTCAAAAGAAGGTGTCGAATTTACCTGGAACTGGAGTTATAGAAAGTTGTTAGCCACCATGTGGGTGCTGGGAACCAAACCCAAGTCCTCTACAAGAGGAGCTGGTGCTCTTAACCATTGAGCCATCTTTCCAGCCCCTTATTCAATATTCTTTTAAAATGACTTTTGATAACTACAGAGTACTGCAGGAGTGTGACAAGTTAACTCCCTTCTGTGGGGCTAATTTTCACTCCTCTAAGTCTTTATCTCTCACTGGTTTCTTCAGACAATATTCCAGATGAGAAATGTGGACGAAAAGGTAATCATAGTTAAGTCGGGAGCCACCTGTGGACCTGTTCTCCAGAAAGGTACAGCCATCTCGTACATATACCTTTAGGCAATAAAGGACCTACCACCCTAGTGCTCTTTGGAGGGCATAGCCTTCTGTTTGGAATAAAGGGCATGGTCTAGCCTGGGCAACAACTATCTCCCCTCTGAGGAAAGTTGTGTCCTTGATGAGGACTCATGCCCATGACCCAATGACATTAGGGCATTTTAGTAGGCTGGCAGAAGGAGAAAGGGCCGTTTAGAGTTAACAGATTTTTAAAAAATATTTTATTAATTTTGTGTATATGTTGCCTGCATGTATGTGAGTGCGCCCGTGTTGTGCAATGCCACGGAGGTCAGAAGAGGGCTTCGGATTCCCCTGGAACTGGAGTTAAGGACGGTTTGTAGCCACCAAGTGGGTGCTGGGAATTGAACCCGGGTCCTCTGCAAGAGCAGTCGGTGCTCTTAACTGCTGGGCCATCTCTCCAGCCCCAAGTTAACAGATTCTTAAGAGCCAACAAAATGTTTTTCTGGACACAGAGCACTAAGTACAGCAAGGGAAGTAACCTCTAAAAAAATGTTCTCCCCAGACAGGGTCTGGCTGGCCGTCTGGGGACAACAGAGAAACCTTTAGGTCTTCTGGCAAAGAATCAGGGTGGCTGAAACCAGAAAACAAGACAGCCGTAAACAGACCACCAGGCCTCTGCCCCTGGCTGGGGGTCTCTGCAGAGCCTGCCAACTTCCCCTTTCTGGGGCTGCCTGCTGCTCTGCTCAGCTGGCTAAAGAAGGGCCTTCCTGTACTTGCTCATCACATCTGAAGCTTAGAGAGAAGGTAAACACCAGGGAATTCAGCTACAAACACTGAAATGTCATCTGAAGATGGTGAAACATAAAAAGGGAAGTTGAAAGAAGCTGTGCAATGAAATTGACACTAAGGACCTGCTGGGAAGACAAATCAGCCAAGTCAAGAGAATCTTACTTCTACTGAAAAAAAAAATCCGTTTTCAAAAGCCCTACCAGGACAGGCATGTAGTCTATATTACTCAGGATCTGGAGGCAGAAGAACCAGGAGTTCAAGGCTATCTGCAACTACATAGCATGTTCAAAGTCAGCCTGGGGTACTTGAGAACTTGTCTCAAAAATACACAGGCCTGAGGATGTAGCTCAGGTGGTAGACTAACACACACAAAGCCCTGGGTTAAAATCTCTAGCACCACTTAAGCCAGGAATGGTGGTGTACTTCTGTAATCCCAGCTTTTAGGAGGTAAAGGCAGGAGAGTCAGAAGTTCAAGGCCATCTCTGTTACATAGTAAATTTGAGGCTGGCCTGAGGTACATAACACCCTGTCTTAAAACACTAAAACAAAGGCTCCAGCAGAGAATCAGCTCCTCCTCCTGACCGTGGTGGCCCATCAGGAAGGCTGGCTGTGTGGCCATCACATGTGATTCTTTCCTCTAAACTATATAGAATTACCATCTTTGCCCCAAGGTAAAGAAGGAATTGGGAGATGAGGAGCTCTGCCCTGGATCACTCTGGTCAAAGGCTGGAGGCAGGATCCATAGGGCAGGTCTGTCAGAATCTGGACCACAGAATTCTCTGAGGCCCCTTCTTAGAGATCAGTTTTTACCTTGGTACTTACCCAGAGAGCAGTGTCCCCTACCTGCTTCTGAGAGCCAGAGCATCTCTGCCTGGCAGAGAGGAAAGGGCTGCCTCACAGAAGCTGAGGTGTGAAAGAAACACAGCACACTGACTTGTAATCAATGTTTTTTATCTTTGAAAATGGAAGCAAGTGTTTTGACAGAACACTATGGCCGCTCTATAAGAGCCAATCTAGGACTAATTCACTGTCCTCCTCCAGGATGTCACGGCTTTAAGAAGACGACAACAAAACAGGAAAAAGAATCCACAATGCTTCAGGGCTGGTTCTCTGAGCCTGGCTGGGCACCCACTCATTAAAGAACTCAGAATCTACAAACTAAGGCCAGGGTGACTCTTTACCCACCCTCTCCTCCCTGAACCACCTTCCCTATGATGCTTCATCACCAGCCCCAACAATTCTATTTACTTAATTAATCTGATACTAGACTCAGAAATTTCTGAATCTGGAAACAAAGGTCCTCAGCAGACTACACTGATAAACAACACCTGTTTGTAAGCCACTCAAATTACTGTTTCTTTTCATTTCATTATCCACCCCAGTGTTAAAAACACACAGACGACACACAAAACCACATGAAACACTCAGATGCCCTGAAGCTGTGAAGCCATTGATCCCTGCACGGTTGGCTAAGAACATGGTACCTTTGCTTGCAAGAGTGCCCAGCCGGCCATGCACTCTCACCAGCTGCCACACTCTACTCCATCCTGACTCCCTGTATACACTTGCTTGCAGCTACCACTGAGCCCACACCAGCACCAGCACGTGCCAAGGCCTTCTTTACATGGTCCCTGACACTATCTGGTTCATGTTCAGTCAGACATTCAGTCCTTCCAGTAAAGACAGGCCTGAAGTCTGCTTTAATAAACATGCAATGTGAGAACATGTAACTGGGACAAAGTTCCTGGTACCCTAGGGATGGTCAGGTGACCAATATCCAGTCTCTGTCCTCTCTAGGTCCAGAGAATGGCTGTGTTCTGTATAACAATGGTCAGGGATGGGGCGAGAGCTGGAGGGCAGATCAGCCTGCTTTGTATGGAGGTGCACGCTACATCTATAGCACATCTTGCACTCCCCTTTCTACTTCCGAACCTTTCCTCCAGTCTCAAAATTCAGGAGCCCCTCAGGCCTCACCTTGCTTACTGCTTGGGCCTGATAGACAGAAGGACAGGCAGGGCTGGCTGGGTGTCTGGGAGAGGTGGCAGCAGAGTGAGGGGAGCAGGACAGGAGCTCTGCGGAGCCACTTCCTCTCCAGCACAGCTCGGGGAGAGCAGGGCTCATGCAGGAAACAGAGGACCACTGGGCAAAGGCTCCGCTCAAAGCTCTCTGATTTCAGTCCCTGCACTATACTAGACAACCTGCTGTGAGGGACAGGAAGCATACTCAACACACATGCGTCCTCTCATCTCAGACGCTCCTGTCCAATATGGACTGAAACCTGAACCACGATGTTCAAGGGATGGATGTGACAGATTCTATGTGTAACAAAACTGCAGAAACACGTGCTAGTTTGGGTTGGATTATAATCGTCTGAAGCACAGGATCAAGAAGCAAAATTCCATTCTGGTACAACCACCCAATTTCTAGAAAAGAGAAAGGAAAGGAAGGAATAGACACATGAGCTTTTTTTAATTAGAAGACTCAACGGAATGAAGGTGTGTGGGTCCATGTGATTGTTTGAGTCTTCCTTCCGTACAGTCATTAGGATGGCCGGGTTTGTGCTGCCAATGATCCAGCACCATGTGGCTAGTGCTGATTGTTCTCATATGAGTGTTTATACAAAATAATTATCTTCATTTAGTTTATAAACATACACAGTGCTGTCCCTTTCAAATTAAGGAAAAAAAAAAAAAACCAGGCAAATACTGCAAAGTAGCAAAATACAAAGAAAAAAAAAGTGACTTTTGGTTTTGGCAACATTAAAACAAGAAAGAAATATACAAAGCATGTGGCATTGGTCCCAGTCATAAAAAATGTGCTTGGGCAGGACACTGACTGGGGGGCAGGGTCATTTTATAAATTCAGATTTTAAAAGTAGTACTTTTGTCTGAAAAGTTCAGTAGGTCACAGAACACCTAAAACATCAAAAACAGCTTTCTGATAAAAAGCTCAGCTTTTGTTTTTGCAAATTTGGGAGAGGAGTTGAGTTCTTACTGGAATGTGGCCTATCGCTGGTTGACAGGTCTGAAATGGAATGTCCCAATGGCAGTGCCTCCCTTTCCACCCTCCCTGGGACCACAACAGCAACCAGCTACCAAGCAGAGTCCTTGCTCCCATTTTTGGAGGGTGGGGCGGGATCTTCAAGCAGCTATCTTTGCCATCTGCTGTTCTAACTTGGAAATGCGCTCATCTTGATTGCAGATTGTGTCTTTTATGGATTTGATCTCTTTTAAAATCTCATCCAACTTGGCTTCATTTTGCTAAGAAAACAAACAGAAATAGGTGGTGATTAGAAAGCCATAAATGAAGATCAACAGTTCAGATGGGGCTTAGAATGTCACTTCCTACTCTAGGAATTGTAAGCCAGTCAAGCTAGGACACCTGGGCTTTATGCAACCGCTGGTGCTAGTCGGGTATGTGAGAGCCCACAGCAAAACCACAGTGCCTCCCTGTGTGACTTTTGGCCCTCTATCTGTGCACCTGGCTGGACAAAGCCTCTAAGGCCACAAACTGCAAGACAAAACCTGATCCTGAAAGGGCTTTCCATGCCCTCACCCCCTTGCCCATCAGGAGCTGCTTCCATTTGTCAGGGTTTGGGAAGACTTCCCCAGAGTCGGAGCCCCTCCCTCTCAGGGAACAAGGTCCCTTGTATTTGCTAGGTCTTCTAAAGAGATCCAGTCTCTCGCCACTTGAGCTTATTCATTTGGAAACCTGTGACCACCCAAGTCCAGGCTGCTGGCTTCTTAGTTAAGGCCCAAAACACAGCTCCTCCAGCCACTCTGGTCAACAGCCCGAGGTGCTCCACACCCCTTTCTCCTTCCTGTGGTACTGTCAGTGGAGCGCCCCTTCTTCCCTGTGGTAGGAATGCCCTCTGCTGGCAGGCTAAGTAGGAACCTTGCCCCCATGGCTCCTGCCAAGGTCACCCTTGTTATTAGCCCCACAAACTGGCAGAGTCTATTGTCACTAGAGCCCTAGGCAAACCTACTCTCACTTCCTTTTCCAGGAAGCTTTACTTCCTGGCTCCTGTGAATACCCATGATGCTTTACTTCTACCCAAATCAGAGAAGGGGAGGAAGGCAGTTAAGAAAACCAGGCAGGGGTCCAGTTCACTCTCGGACATGTGACAGACTAACATCACCACTGGCATTATAAAAGCCAAAGCTAAGGGGGCCTAGCATGCCACACAGCCACCCAGTCCCGTGTCAGGACTTCCTCACACACACTACACATTGGCTTTACTGGAAAATGCCCTGTGTGCACAGCTGGGGCAGTACTTGGCACTGCCCTATGTCATAAAGGGCTTTCTAGAGGACAGGCCAATCCAGCCCGGGCAGCCTGCACTCCTCACCACACTGGCCGCATCTGTGGTCTTCTTGGGAGCACTGATCAGGTCGCACTTCTTATTTGCAGTGGGCTTGCTGTCCAGAATGTTCTTCTTGACTACTTTGAGATCCCTGTTTTTGCCTGGAATGTACCCGTGCTTCAAGGAGATGAGGATCGGATCAGCATTCTTTCCCTCAAACCATTCCTCTGCTTCCAGTGCAGCTTCAGGCCCTGCTGTGTCAGGGTACAGATCATCTTGGAAAAGATCAGACTGCAAGGGAAATTTGGGGAAACCTCTGGTAAGGAAGATGAACGGGCTGAGGCTCACTCTATCTACCCATCCATCTATTTATCTATTTGTGGTGCTAGGGATTGAACCCAGGGCCTTGTGTGTGCAAGGCAAGTGTTCTTCCACTGAGCTATAAACCCCGACGCTTTTCCTTTATTTTTAGATAGGGTCTCACAAAACTGTTCAGATTGGTCATGTACTTCAAATTTTCTCTTATAATCCCTAGTAGCTGGGATTATAGGAACCAGTTAGATTTTCCTTTTGAAACATGTGTTACTTAAAAACTGGGTACTTACCTTCCTGGGAACAGTCATGATAATCGGTTCACACTTTCTCTCATGAAGCTTGAAAAATCTTCAAAGGAGAAATAAAAGTTGTAGTGGGTGACATGTGACAGGCTCAGTATCTACTCTTTAGATTTTACACAACAAATTCTCCCGCACCAACCATCTCCTCTGCCTCCCCAGCCCTAAGCAGAGTCTAGGTTCCCATTTTACAGAAGACTGGGCACATCTAAGCTGAGAAGACTAGTACTGTGAATGATGTCTATGAATGACAGTGATGGTGAAAGGTAATTATCTAGGTGGTGATAGGCTCCAGTGGAAAGCACAGCCACACCGGCAATGTATGTGAAAAAGGCACACACACCTGACAGGAGACAGTGTCTAACCCTGGGTGTCAGATCTTCTGTCACTTTGAGGTGCTGACCAGGTTGATATATAAATAGAACTTTCAGGTATGTGTGCTTATGTTAGTGGGCATGTGTGCATGTGCATGTGTGTGTGTTCTGTAGGCACAGCACACATATAGAGCTCAAAGGACAACTGCTAATGTTCATCCACTGGCATCTTCCGTCCTTTTAAAAACAGTTAACTTTATTATTTGTGCATGTGTGCCTGTGTGTGTGCATGTGCATGATGATGTGTGTGGGTGTGAATACCACAGCATACAAGAGGAGGTCAGAGAACAACTTTGTGGAGCTGGTTCTCTCCTTCCACCTTTACATGGGTTCCGGGGACTAAACTTAGGTTGTCAGGCTTATATGACAAGTGCTTTACCTACTAAGCCATCTTGCCCACATTGCCTTCCAACCTTTTGTTTGATGTAGGTCTCTCATTATTGGCCTCGGACTTTGCCAATATAGATCAAGCAAACTGGCTCGGGGACCTCTAGGGATCTACTTATCCCCACCTCCCATCATGCCATCACTGGGATTACTGGTGTGTGACATGATACGTAGACAGGGCTACCGGCTGAGCCATCTACCCAGCCCTGTAAGCAGAACTTTTTTTTTTTAAAAGGAGGGGCTGGGAGATAGCTCAGTGGTTAAGAGCACTGACTGCTCTTGCAGAAGACCTGGGTTCGATTCCCAGCATGCACATAGCAGCTAAGAACTGTCACTGTCTTTAACTCCAGTTCCAGGGGATCCAATGCCCTCTTCTGACCTCTGCAGGCATTGCATGACATGGGTGCACTCACATACATACAGGCAATACACTCATACATATAAAATAAAAATAATAAGTAAAATAGTTTTAAAAGTAAAAAAGAAAAGGAAGCTAGATATGATGGTGCAGGTCTGTGACCTCAGTACTTGAGAGGTTCAGTCAGAAGGATGGACATGAGTTTGAGGTCAGCCGAGACTACACAGCAAATGTCAAGACTTTCAAAAGAAAGGAAAGAAAAGGAACATAAAGCTAAGCAACATGCATATTGTATTAAGAAAGGTAAAGTTTCTAATTCAGAGATGGGGGGTACAATTTTAATAACTTATAACAAACAAAACCAGAAACTTCCCTTATGATGAAAGTGATAAGGGGAAGTCAGTGTTTCTCCAGCAGGATGGGGCTAACCAAGCTTTCTCTCAAGCCCTTGGTAAGAGAGGCAAACAAAGGGAGCATCTGGTCAGACCACCAGATCCAGCAACTGACATGGAGGGGGAACTGGCTGATGTGAGCAAAACAAGGAAGCGCCCTCTGGTGAGAGGCAAAGCCAAGCAAGGCTCTGGCTGGCAAAGGTGTCTGCAATAGCAGTCTTCTGTAACCAGGACTCCTTAAGACCTGCAATTTTTTTTTTTTTTTTGGTCTTTTTGAGACAGGATCTCCCTGTAGCCCCAGCTATCCTGGAGCTCATTATGTAGACCAGGCTGGCCTTGAACTCATAGAGATCTGCCTGCCTCTGCCTCCCGAGTGCTGGGATTAAAGGCATGCGCCACTACGCCCAGCAAGACTTGCTATTTTAAGAGAAAGGTAAACCAAAAATTTTTCCAGACTGATTTAATGAAAACTATAGGTGGTACAGTGGCAGATACACTGCCTCAGCACAGACTGCAATCTCCAGGGCACCACAACTCCTGACTTCAAGTTTTTTTTGTACACCACATGAGGACAGAAATAACCCCCACTGCTCAGGGCTGCCATGAGAAGTCAGAGGCAGCCCATGCAGTTAGCAGTTTCCAATACAGAATCAACACTCAACAAAGAACTGGGAGGTGCTCTTACCTTGGACAACAGTAAAGTAAATGTGTTTCTAAATACTCTATGCAATTTTAAGTCAGATTCAATTTATTTTGAACCACAATCTGATAAGTTAGGTTTGAACCATAATTTTTTTTTTAAATCTGAAACTTGGGGCTGGAGAATGGCTCAGTGGCCAAGAGTATTGCTGCTCTTGCAGAGGACCCAGGTTTAGTTCCTAGCATCCACAGAGAGGCTAACAACTGTCCAAAACTCCAGTTCCTGAGGATATGACACTCTCTTCTGGCCTCCACAGGCACTGTGTGTATGTGAGGCACTTACATACACGCAGGCAAAACTTCATATACATTAAAAAAATGTCTGAAGCTGGGCCAGGTCTAATGGAGCACACCTTTCATCCCAGCACTGAGGAAGCAGAGGCAGGCAGAGCTCCCTGAGTTCCAGGCCAGCTTGGACTACATAGTTGAATTTCAGGCCAAGTACAACTATATAGTGAGATCCTGTCTCAAGAAACCAAATCAAACCAAAACAACAAAAAAAAAATCTGCAGCTTTCCATCATAACCCCATGTATTTTTACCAAAGAATAACACAAAAAAGGCTTTAAATTTTTTTTTATTGAATTTTTGTGCATTTCATACAGAACATCTCAATCATCTTTATATCCCCTTCCCCACTGGCCCCCTCTCATAAGCGCCCCCACTGGAATTCATACATTCCGTCCTTTGTGTTAAGGCCCATCAAGTCAAGTCAGTATGTCCCCCAGACATCCCTCAGTTCAAGTTTATCCACGAAGGTCTAGTAAGCCTATCCAGAGTTCTTCCTTTCAAGAAGATCAGCCCTTCCTCACCCAGCAGCAATCAGCTGCCAATAATTCTTCAACCAAGATTGGGGCCTGCTGTCCATTCCCACAGTTCTGTGCTGAGTTTTTGTCTGCATAGGTTTTGTGTGTGCTGACACCATTGCTGTAGGTTCATATGAGAAGGGTCCCAGGAGCCTATAGGACTATTTCTACATGGTCAAACACCTCCTCCCTGGCTCTTCCATCTTTCTTCTCCCTCTTCCTCAATGGTCCCTGAGCCCTGGGTGGGCATATTTTAATATAGGAGTCCTGTATAAGGACCTATATTCTGTATACTTATTTTCTGTTTTGGCCATTTGTGACCTTTTGTGTTCCTGGTCCTCTGTTGCATGGGGGAGCTTCATTGATGAAACTTGAAAGATACATTAGTGTTCTCTTCATCCCTTGGTCTATATTCCATGAACCTTAGGTATAGAGGTTGAATTGTAGATGTGCCACTTAAGCTGCAGCAATTCACAGATAATCTCTGTGTTTGACCAGCTGTGAAACTCTGTAATAATCTCTGTTGAAAGGAAGCTTCTTTGATAGGTGGTAACTGGGATACTTGTCTGTAAATTTAAAGATTCATATTTTGCACATAGTAATTATATTTGTCTAGGGATGTGACAGCCTTGAGGTTTTCTCCAAGATCTATGATCACCTCTTCAGCTATGCATATTTGGCTAGGTTTACAGCACCACACGAGTTTCCTCCCATTGAGTGGGCTTTAAGGCCAATTAGGTTGCTGTTGATTACCCCCAAGATAAAAGTGCCACTACTGCATTAATATAATTTGCTGTGCTGGTCACTGATGTGTTTTTTTAGGCCTTGAAGCTGGGGTTGGACCATCAATTGATGTTCTCCCTTAGCAGCTTGTATAGTGCTCTCCAAAACTATGAGAGCCAGCCTTCAGGGGAGGTGGCTTCCGGGTCAATTCCAGCTCCACTGCTCCAAATTCTGTATCCGAAGTATGTCCTGTCTTCAGCAAACAGGGTCTTACCTTCAAGTTCTGGGAAGCAATTAGGGACTTTGGCAATAGGCTGTGTAATTTTGGTAGTCTCTTGGACTACTCTGTGGGTGAACCACTCAAAGGAAGGTTTCTCCTGTCTGGCACTGTTTCTTGTTATATAGCCTTCAGCTACACATATAAACTCATGCAGAGATATTGTTTGTGTAAATTTTCAGTAGGTTTTTAGACTAATATGATTCCCTTTTTTTTTTATACTAGTTAGGCACTATTTATGTCTCCTCCCTCTCTCTCCCTGTCTGGCCCTCCCTCCACGTCCTCCCCATTTTCAGTATGATAATATCCCTACTTTTCCCATTTCTCCCTTGATAATTTGTCTGCTATGGTTCCACCTCTCTCTCTTCTTCCCCCTTTCCCCTATAGTTCCTTGTATAGCCCTAGGCCTCCCTCTCCCCCTCCCATTTAACAACCCCCATTTTACACACTTCTCCCTCAGTAACACCTGTCTCCTAGGGTTCCTTCTTTCCCTTTACCTCCCTGGTTACTTTGCATTTTCCTGGTTCCTGCAGTTACATCAGGATATGCACTCACTTATAAGGATTTGGTGCTGGGATCCACAAATGAGGGAGAGCATATGCCGTTTGTTGTTCTGAGTCTGTGTTACTTCACTTGATATAACAGTTTCTAGATCCATCCATTTACCTGCAAATTTCATTACTTCATCTTTCTTTACTGCTGAGTAGAACTTCATTGTGTAAATGTACCACATTTTTGTTATCTACTCTTTGGTTGAGGGACCCTTAGGTTGCTTCCATCTCATAGTGTTGTGAAAAGAGCAGCAGCAAACATGGTTTTACAAGTGTCTCTACAATAGGATGAGTCCTTTGGGTATATGCCAAGGAGTGGTATAACCAGATCATATTGGAGGTTCATTTTCTTTTTAGTTTTTTAAGAGTTCTCCACACTGTTTTCCATAGGGGTTGCACAAGTTTGCAATCCCACTAGCAGTGAATGAGTGTTCCCCTTTCTCCACATCCTCACCAGCATTTAGTATCATTTGTTCTCTTGATCTTAGCCAGTCTGCCTGTGGTAGGATGGAATCTTAAGGTGGTTTTACTTTAATTTCCCTAATTACTAACGATGTTGAATACTTTTAAGATGTTTCTTAGACATCTTTTGAGACAGGGTCTCCCTGTAGCCCCAGCTGGCCTGGAACTTGCTATGTACACCAGGCTGGCCTTGAACTCACAGAGATCCACCTGCCTCTGCCTCCCAGGTGCTGGGACCACGCCTAGCTGATGCTTTGTCTTTTGAGTTCTTTATATATTCTGGATGTTAAACTTCTGTCAGATGTGTTCCTGGTGAAGATTTTCTCCCAGTCTGTGGGTTGCCTCTTCACTTTTTTCGTTGTTTCTTTTGCTGTACAGAAGCCTTTTAGCTTAATGAGGTCCCACTTGTTGATTATTGACTTTAATTCCTGAGCAACTGATGTTCCATTTAGAAAGTCCTTTACAATACCCTGACCTTGTAGGTTACTGCCAATGTTTTCTTCTAACAGTTTGAGTTTCAAACTTCACATTGAGGTCTTTGATCTACTTGGAGTTGACTTTTATGCAAGGTGAAAGATAAGGGTCAAGTTTCATTCTTCTACAGGTGGAGATCCAGTTTTGTCTGCACCATTTGTTAAAGATGCTGTCTTTCCTCCACTGCGTGTTCTTGGTGCCTCTGTCAGATATCAGGTGGCTGAAATTATGTGTACTCATGTTTGGGTCTTCAATTACATTCCATTGATCTACGTGTCTGTTTTTGTGCTAGTTTCATGCTGTTTTTATGACCACAGCTCTGTAATATAGTTTTGAGATCTGGTACAGTAATCCCCACAGCATTGTTCTTTGTGCTCAGGGTTGCTTTGGCTACCCAGGGTCTTTTGTACTTCCATATGAATTTTAGGATTTTTTTTTCTAATTTTGTGTATGTCATGGGGATTTTGACTGGGATTGCACTGAATCACAAAAAAGGTTTATAAAAATTAAATCCCAGCTGGGCGTGGTAGTGCACACTTGTAGTCCCAGCACTTGGGAGGCAGAGGCAGGAGGATCTCTGTGAGTTCAAGGCCGGCCTGGTCTACATAGTGAGTTCTGGGGCTACAGGGAGACCCTGTCTCAAAAAGACCAAAAAAAAAAATCCCTATTGTTTTAGAAAAATGTATTATTATTATTATTATTATTATCATCATCATTATTGACAGGGGTAGCCCAAGCTCTCCTTGAACTTGTTAAGTAATCAAGGACATTCTTTTTATAAAAAATATATTTATTTATTTTTGTATGTATAAACATACTTGTGTGTGAATGTATGTGTATGGAATGCAGAGGACCAACTCAGGAATCAGTCCTCCCCTTCCACCCTGTTTGAGGCAGGATCTCTTGTTTTCCATTGTGCTGTGCACTAGCTGGCTTGGGAGCTTCTGGTGCTTCTCTTATCTCTGCCTCCCACCTCACATAGGAGTGTTAAGACAGACACCTGCTACCATGTCCAGCTTTTCACATATGTCAAGGATCTAAACTCAGGTCATTAGGCTTCTGCTGCAAGCATTTTTACCCACAGAGTCAAACTCTGACCGCCCCCCAAATGATCTTGAACTCCTGATCCTCCTGCCTCCACCTCCTGAATGCTGGGATTGCAGGCATGCATCGCCAGGCCTGGCTCAAGATGTCTTAACTCTTATTCATGTGACCAGAGCAGCAAACTTTAAGTCCACATAAAGTGTTATGCCAATGTGCAGTTTGAGTATGTATTTATGGGTGTGGTGCTCTTTTGTTGTTCAACATGGCAGTGGACAGTCTCTTTTCTAGTGAAAAGAAAGCTGCCCCACTAGGAGCCCACTAGTGCTGCAGGGTTAGTTTTAAAATACAGGGAAGTATAGAGGCAGAAACCATTATCACAGAACTGAACTTGCTGATCGAGCTGACCCATACCTCACCAGAGGAGCACTGGCTTCTCTGGTTTAGGACCAACAACACCTACAATCCAGAGTGGAAGTTGTTCTTCCTTGCAGGGCAGGAGCCCCCACATCTCTTTCCATTCCAGAGCCAGGCTCTCACCTGCTTGCCCACCAAGAAGCACTGCTGCAGCCTCAGTATGAAGGTAGACGGTATAAGTTTCCCTACTTCAGTGGGCGTGCAATATACTCAGTCACGCTAACTGCTATACTCCATTGTAAGGGCGGTCATGAGATCTAATCAACTTGAATCACACACATGCAGTAGAAAGACTCAGCATTACACAGTACTTGGAGTTGACCTGCTCTGGCATGGCCCAGTTGGCACTAATAATGGGAAGCTTTATAGCTTCAATTCTTTACCTGGCAATCTCACATTTGTTAACATCAAGTCCACGCTTACTCATGTAGCCCATCCCTCTCTGAGGCTCTTTGCTGCTGAATGTGTTGAGGTAGTGGACATATGGGGATTCATCCGTGATTTCAAAATACCGGATACTGCTATCACCCTATAAGAAACCAGAGACATGTCAGTGTCCACGTTAACTAAAGCATTTAGTCATTGTGGGTATCTCAACCCACAACCCCAGTCATTGTCGGTATCTACAACCCCAGCATTCATGGGAGTCCACCTTCTGTAGCCAGACCTTTGCTCTCTCCAAAGATCACTATCCTAAAGAGTATGACAGTTGTCTTTTCCACCAAGATTAGCCCTTTCCTACGTAGAATTATCTAGCAAGCTCTGGAAGAGGTCTCCTTTGCTTCTACTCCCCTGGGCCTACAAATTAGGTCAGGGTTAGGACAGAATATTAATGTTCCCCATAAAAACTACCCTGTAGTTCACTTCAAAAATCAAGCAAAAGGTAGGAGTATGGTCAAGGGCATAATCACCCATCTAAGAGTTCATTCCCTGGCCAGAGCAGCATTGGTCAGACCCAAGGATATGAACAACAGACAATCCAAGGATGATCTTTAGAAACTTTCAAAAGTACCACTACAATATCTTTTTGCCATATGTACAAATCTATGATCATGCTGCTTAGAGTGGTCAGATACTTTTGGCAATCCACCTGGCAGATGCTAGGCTAGGTATAAGTGACAGTTATAGTTACACCAACATGAACAATAAAGGCAACCCAGTCTAAGGACACACACAGACATGCACAGAGAGACAGGCAGACAGACAGACACATGGAAGCCAGGCGGCATCTTGCCCTACTACTTATTTTCAGTTTCCATTTGTCTCAGTGGTTTAAAGATCTACATCAGTAGAAAGAAGCTAAACATACACCAGTCATTTTCCATACTCCAAATAATTTTCCTCCTCATGTAATACTCCCTGGGAAACTGCTCATTGTTGGTTTTGACACTGTCTGTGACAACCCTGAGGCCTATACTTAACAGCTGTTAACATCTGAGGGAAGGTAACCTTTAAGGAAATAGACAAGATCTCAAATTCTACGTAACTGACCTAGAAAATGCAAAGCAACTCTACAGTGCAGCAGGCTCTATCATCACCAGCAAGGGGCTAGCTGACAGGTATGGGACAGATGGACGACCCCCTGCCCCTTTTGGATTTTTTGAGGCAGAGTCTCATGTAGTCCAGGCTGGGCTTGACTCGATTCTCCTCCTGCCACCTCCCAAGTGCTGGGATTACAAGCATGTGCCACCATGCCTGGCAAGAGCCTTCTTTTGTTTGAAAGTTATTTCACCTATAAAAAGGTGTAGGGATGACTAAATGGGCAAAAGAATAAGGAGTTTGGAGGTTAGCACCCATGAAAGTAAAATTATGACAACAGCAAAGCTGTTAGCAAAACTGGGTCTAGCTAGTTCAATTCATGAGGCAGGAGGAAGGTGTTCTGAGTGCAGTGTGGTATCTTTCTGTAATAGTTATTGCCCCATGAAACTGGTCGGGACATTTATCTTCAAGCACAGGGCCTAATGCTGAATTCCAGAAACCAGAACCATTTTGGAGAGCTGTGAGCCCTCACACCTGTACATACTATTCCCTTTACCAACCCAGGCAAGAGACAGTGCACACATACTTGCTGATCTAGGGTTACCAAACTGGTTTCAGTCTTAGATGTGACAGCCCATCCCCAATAGCAATCCTGACAGCTGTGAAACATCCATCATGCAGCTCCGGGAGAAGAGAGCAAACAGCAGCACGTTCTCTTCTTTCCCACAGAGCCAAGTGAAGAGCTCCATTCAGTCCCTGTCCCGACTCCCAGTTCAGTCAAAAGCACTGACCATGACATGTGATCACTATACAAACGGCAGGCTCAAGACCCAAAGCATACCACCATCATCTATCCTACTATCTGGTGGAGACACAAATCAGAAAAAACTACAGAGTTTAAACAATGCAGTCCACTGCCTACCTTCTAAATCTCTAGAGGAACTCTTCTAGGGTCAACCTAAAAATCAAACATCGAAGCCACTGTTTACCTTTCCACATAAGTAAATGATGCTGGTGTCAGGGTCATAGAAAGGCAGCAACACCCCATTGCTCGTGTCCATTTCATGAAGAGCAATTGGTTCCTGCATATTTTTCTGAAAACAAATCAATAGAGGTTTATTTATACACACATGTACACACATTTTTAAAAGACAAATTCCTGTAACCTTACTATATATTCTTTGACTTAAAGGAAGCCATTTGCTTAGCATTAACCTAAATTTTGATCAATGTGAATGTTTTCTTTTAATTTTTTATTTATTATTTTTATTTTATGTGTATGCGTGTATTGCCTGTATATAAGTATACCTGTGTCGTACAATGCCCATGGAGGTCAGAAGAGGCTGTCGGATCCCCTGGGACTGGAGTTATGGACAGTTGTTAGCTGCCATGTGGGTGCTGGGATTTGAACCTAGGTCTTCTGCAAGAACAACCAGTGTCCTTAACTGCTGAGCCATTTCTCCAGGCCCCAATGTGAATACTTTCAAACACTTAAATTTCATAGAGATCAAATTCACTGATCACTATGGTGATCTGAGCACATAATCAATACAAACACTGGTATGATTCCACAACAAAGATGGTAGCCTTTTCTCTTTGTAACTAGTTTCTTTTTTAAGCATTATTTTTTCTATAAAAGATTTCATTTTTGAAAATTACGTGTCTGTGTGTCTGTGTGGGGTTATGTGCACATGTGTACAATTGTTTGTAGAGTCCAGAAGAGGGCATTGGATCCTGGAAAGCAGAGTTGCAGGTAGTTGTGAACAACCTGACATGGGTATTGGGAACAGAACCCAGATCTTCTACAAGAACAGCAAGTGCTTGTAACCACTAGGTCATCTCTCAAGCTCCCTCTTTTCTTATTATAAAGCAAGTATATGTATTTATAAAAAGTTAGGGAACAAAGAGCCTAAAAATCACCCTATTTCCCACAATTCTGCAGTCCAGCAGATGGCTGGAGGCATCACACTAGCTAAGCAGTTTAGAAGTCTTTTTTTAACCATTTATATCAGTTACAAACATTTTCCTAAGTAGGATTATTTTGTTTTGAATGCTTGATCACAGTCTTTATGCAACATAAGAATAATGAACTTATTTCCCAAATATAAAAGGCTCTGTATACTCTTAACAGGCAGCCAGCAGGATCTTGGGAGCACCACATGCACATTTCGGAGGTGGACTTGCCAGTGAGCCACCACTGAGGATGAGAACTTTGCATTCAATATAAGACAGCAGGAGCTTAAAAACCACATTAAGAGCCCTTAACCCCTTACCATCCCAGAACCTCACTCAGATCTGAGAGAACACTGCAGAAAGAGAGAAAAGGCTGGGAAGAGCTTACCGGATTCCAGAGTGCCAGCTGCCGCTCGCTCATGCGGCTAAAGCCAGTGGTGAAAACGTTGCCATCAGCCAGGAAGATGGCTCGCATGGGTCTGGCTCCTTCATGTGCTTTCTCCTTCTCCTGGAGAGGAGAGAGAGCAATGCATATTTCACATATTCAAGCTGTAACAAGGGAAGGTGAGTGGAAAGCTCACAAGTGGAACCCATTTTCACTCTGTGGGCCATTCATGTTCTCCTGGGCTAGACTTCAGTGTGAATCCATCACCCCTCCTCATGAAACAATACTAAGAGCCCCAGCAAGCAAGAGTACCAGGATCCGACTCAAGAGCCTCATTCCTTCTACCTGCTGCCAACCCAGTCCAGCACTGCAGATACAGAGACATACAAGGACTCTGCCAAACATCTGTTTCTCAAGGAGATGACAACCTGCAGGCTGGGAACAGCCTACAATTTCAGCAGCATCATAGGATATAAGGAAGGCTATGCTACTTAAGCCTTCTCTGGTTAATGAGAATGCGTCAGTATCCATCCCTGGAAGATGCTGGTAGACAAAAACAGGAAAGTTCCTGTGATGGGTAAGTGTTGCCCAACACTTTAGGTGCAAAATGTTGAAAAACATCAACCACATCTCAAGAAGCCCCAGAGTATAGCTGAAGAACTTTAATGCTGGCAGTTTCAGGCCTGACTAAAAACCTGAATGTATACCTTTGGTCAGGATATGTGACCTCGCTGAGGCCCAGAAAGGGGAGAGAGAAAAGCTGAGCTGATGGCTGGTCCTGCTGCAGCTCTGTACGGCACCTGGACACTTTCTGGGACCAGGGTGGGCATCAGTTAGTGAGCAGTCAGCACTAAGTTCCAGACAGGAACAGAGTCTGGTTTAACTCATCCAGACCTATAAACTCTCAAGGGCATTAGGAACTGTTCAAAACCAGGCACCAAGTGAAGTGAAGAGTTAAGGAAAGGCTGGAAATGACCTCAGAGAGAAGAGAGACAAGTGTGGTCAGCAGTGTGAGCCACCCCCTGTTCAGCTGCACCTGTACTCAGCAGGGGCCAGCGGCTTGTATGCACCAGCCTTGATAGCAGAGCTCAAGTTGCCTTAGGACACTCACAGCCACAATCTCTTGCTTCCTGGGGTCGATGACTCTCACTCTCTTGTCTTTGGAGGCCGTGCAGATGAGACTGCCATTGCGATTCCAGCTCACGTTGTAAATCATGTCTGAGTGCATGTCGTCCAAGTTAATGAGGGCTTCCCCTGTGCCCACATTCCAGATGATGATGGCATTGTCACAGCCTGCAGCAAGCAGAGTCAATGCCAAGATTAGACATACCTGCACACCATGCTGGAGAAAGCTACAAGCCTGGTGGGAACAGGACAGGGAAGGAAGGGCTCTACCTACTGAGAGGCTGGAGTAACAAGGAAAAGGGATTTGACTAAAAGAACATTATTAAAGAAAATATAGTTTGTTAAGTAAGGTTCCTATGAAGTCATCAGCCAACCAAAACCAAGAATGACACAAGAACACAATCCTATCATTTTTCAAAGAGCTAAATGGAAGCATAGGAATGAACGTAATTTATTTCTTTTCCAATGACACTTGGCAGGGCAGGTCATTCAAATCAGTGACATTGTGAGCTGAGGTCCTGTATATGAAAGTGAGGTGAATTACAGTTACAGAGGGACACAAGGACTTGTCTGTGGCTCATAGCAATCTTTTATCTTTGAAATGGGAAAAAACGGAGCAAGAGTAGTCTGCTATGTAGACCAGGCTGACTTCAAACACACAGAGATCTGCCCGTTTCTGCCTCCTGAGGTATGTGCCACCACACCAAACTCAGAATTTTGAAAAATGTATATAATCAAGAGATAGCATAGCATATTTTCATCATCTCCAAAGCTTAACCACTGCCATCTCCCTTGTGTGTGTGTGTGTGTGTGTGTACATACATGGAATGTACCCATGTATATACTGTGTGAAAGTTAGAGGACAACCTTGGTTGATTCTTTTGAGGCAGTCTGCTACCGGCCTGGAACTCACCAAGTAGGCTACGCTGGCTCGGCCGTGAGCCAAGGGATCTTTTTCTACCTCCCCAGTGCTGGGATTACAAGTATGTACTACCACATCTGACTTTCTTTACATGGGTTCTGGGGATCAAACTCAGGTTCTGAAGTACTCTCTTGAATGAATCATCTTCCTAAGCCAAATATAAAAAAAAAAATTTTTTTTTTTTTTGAGGCAAGGTCTCATTTATCTCAGCCGGGCTAGACTTTAATGTACTAGGTAGCTGAAGATGACCTTGAACTTAATGTACCACCACATCCAGTTTATATACTGCTTTTAATAAAGAAAAGAAAATCTAAATTTTGGGCAAAGGGAAATATTTCTGTAAGATAAACTTGGAAAACCAGCAGACACAGTAAAACCTAAGTCACCAGGCTCCATTGCAGTACTGTTTAGCTGATTAATCAGAAACAGCATCAACATCCAGAACTGTGTAACTGAGGTGTACCCAACAAAATACCAATGTGGAGTCATTAAGGAGACCATAGGAAGAACACACAGTGGCACATGGAAAAGATCACAGTATACCACACAATACAAATATAAGCCACGTATAAAGTGTACGAACCCATCCTGTGTGTAAAATAATCTGAATGCACACCATGGTTCTCTAATACTCAGCTTCAAAACTGCACAGCACTTGGTGCCCCCTCCACATGAAGGGCTACAGGAAATAAAAGCAAGGCAGACTGCTTGGCTCCTACCTGCACTGAGAAGTACGTTGCGGGCTGTCGGATGCCAGGCCACAATGCCAACTCTTTTTGAGTGGCCTTCTAGAATCACCACAGGTTCAGTCAGGGAAAGGGTGAGTCCATTTTCTGGGATCTGCCAAACCTGTTGGAAAAGGAAAGATGAATGGAAGGAAAGCTCACCTTTCATCACTAGGTTCACTGTGAGCACCCAGCTTGAAGACTTGCTCTATCCAGTCAGAGCACACAATAGTAACTGTAGAAAAGGCACTACGAAACAACTGTACAGTGTTTTGAAAATGTGAGTACACTAAGGATCAGAAGATTGGTAGGGCCTATAAAATGTGACCCTTCTTCTTTCTTTATATCAGTTAGGGCTTTCTTTAATTCATTGGTAAGTTCCAAACTATCCAGTGAGAAGTATCTGATGTACTGAAAGAAAAGTACAAAATATATGAAGTGCTCCTACAAAGACATAGCAGCTGAAATCCTCAGCTGGATCTGTAGCTCCTGAAGGAGTGGTGCAGTTTTAAAATGTGCTCTGTAATTTTACATTTGGAACATGAAAATATTTCTAACACATGCTACAGAAAGCAAGGCTTACTAAAGGAAAAAAGATAATAGAACTTAATCAAAACAAAAACTTAGAACCCTATCAAGAAAACTATCAAGAACCCTATCAAGAAAGTAGAAAGACAACCCACAGAATGGAAGAAAATAATTTGCAAATCATATACCTAGTAAGGACAAATACAGAACTCAAAACTTAGTAATAAAGGGACAAATAATCCAACTTAACAAATGGTCAAGACATCAGAATAGACATTTCTTCAACATAGTCATACACATTCAAAAAGTACATGTGTTGGGCATGGTGGCACATGCCTTTAGTCCCTTCATTTGGGAGGCAGAGGTAGGCAGATCTCTGTGAATGGAGGACAGCCTGCTCTACATAGTGAGTTTCAGGCCATCTGTGGCTACAGAGAGACTCTGTCTCAGAAAGAACAAAAACATGGGCTGGAGAGATGGCTCAGTGGTTAAGAGCACTGGCTGCTCTCGCAGAGGTCGGACCCGGATTCAATTCTCAGCACCCACATGGTGGCTAACAATTGTCTGTAACTCCATTTTGAGGGGAATTCGATTCCCTCTTCTGACCTCTGAAGGCATTGTACAACACAGTGCACTTACATACATGTAAGCAATATACTCATACACACAAAATAAAAAATTAAATATTTTTAAAAGACCAAAAATAAATAAATAAAGCACATACAAAGATACTTGACATTATTAGTCACAATGGAAGTGCAAATCAAATCCAGAACACTCACCTCACCCTCAACCCTATGTTGCATGGATCAGCTGGGCCATCTTTTACCAAGTGGTTTAAAAAAATGTGACATGCTTGTGCAATGGACTATTATTTTGCCATAAAGAATGAAGCACTGATCTGTGCAACTATATGGATGGACCTTGGAAACATTATGCTAAGTAGAAGAAATTGGACACAAAAGGCCACATGTTGGCAGGATCCCATGTCTGTGAGGGGTCTGCAATGGGGAAAGAGAGACGGGAAGCAGATCAGTGGTGGATTAGTGCTGGGAGCAGGGAACAAGGTTAGGGGACACACATTCCTTTTTAAAAAAAAAAAATAATATAGGAGACCCTACAAAGGGACTTCCTATGTAGCTCTGGCTGACCCAGAACTTGCTATATAGACCAAGCTGACCTCAAGAGATCTGCCTGCCTCTGCTTTCTGAGTATTCGGTTTAAAGGTGGGCGCCACCACACCTGGCCCCACATATTTGTGAGTATCCTAGAAATCACTGAATTGTACATTTTAACTGGGCGAATTCCATATGAGCTTTATCTTAAAAAACTTTTTTTGTGTGTGTCTGTATATGATGTGTGTGTGTGCGCACGTGTGTGCCATGGCATACATGTAGAGGGCAGAGGACAACTCTGTAAAGTTGGTTCTCTCCTTCCACCTTTATGTGGGTTCCAGGGATCAAACTCAGGTCATCAGGCTTGCTCAGCAAATATCTTTACCTGCTGAGCCATCTTGTTGATCCCATGAATTATATTACAAATAACACAAAGTAGTTTTTTTTTTCCTCCCTTAAATATGGTGCTGGAAAGATGGCTCAGTGGTTAAGAACTCTGGCTGCTCTTGAAGAGGACCTGGATTCAGTTTCCAACACCCACTTGGCTGTTAACTGGAGTCTATAACTCCAATTCTAGGGAATCCAATGCCCTCTTCTGACTTCTGTGGGCACTGCACAACACAGGTACTTTTACATACATATAGACAAAAGCCTTCTGGGGCCTGAAGATGGTTTAGTGGGTAAGAGTGTTTGCTCTCCAAACATGAGGATCTGAGTTTGAATTCCCAGCAGCCACATAAAAAGTCAGGCATGGCTGTACATGCCTGGAACCCCAGCATTGGTGAGGGTGGGCACTGAGACAGGAGGATCCTGACGGCTTACTAGTCAGCCTGGACGAATTCAGTGGGAGACTCTGCCTCAAGCTAATATGGTAAAGAGCAATAAAGGAAGACGTCTGACATCCTGCAATGGGCAACACATGTGCACATGCACTTATACACTTAAGCACATTCACCACCACCCATATCCACACCCTCCTGACTGATGCTGACAGGCAGAAGGTTCACCACAACCTAACTGGAGAACTGTCTGGGTAATAAGGAAAGACATGGACAAGATGTGGCAGAGTGGAAGAACGAAAGATTTAATGTAGAGCTTCAGAGTGTTGAGACTATAAGCATGAGCTACCATGCTAGGTGAAGACAGAGGTTTTAAAGGTGAAAACAGAAGCACCCTCTAAGAAGTTGCACGTAAGCTGAGTAGCTCAAAACCTTAGCAGACTGCATATTAAATGGTGTCCGGTTAATGAAAAGGTTGAAGTTTAAAATAGTTACGTTTTTACAAATAAGTAAATTTACCATCGTGAAAAGGTCTTAAGGAACAAGCTCAATAAAAAGTCAGCTCTTGTAAGTAAAAAGTCACATTCTGCAGTGGAGCAAGTGAGACAGAATGAGCGGGGTACATTACGGAGACAAATATCTGTCTGCTTTCAATTGCTTAGTGCAAGGCAAAGATCTGGATTAGACGAGTGCTTAAAGTTCAGTTCAGCTGTTATTCTATAAAAAATGAGAACAAAAGTTTGCCATCCTACAAAATGAGAAAATCATCAGTGATTCATTCACTGTTAGAGCTAGATTCTACTCAAGCTAAATATAACCTGGTATACAAATCAAGGCAAAATAAACCAAGCTTTTGCCGGCTCAAGCCTAGAGGTCACCTGACAGTCCTGCCCTGACTCCCATCACTCAGCAAAGTTTACAGAGGCAGCTATGAGCAGAGAAGGCAGGAACACAACCTCCCTGCCTAGTCCTCCCTTGCCCAGACCACAGGCCTGATCCCTTGGGGTGTGGGGGCAACTGCTTCTTCTCTAGTAGGGCATATGTGCTTTCATCCTGACACATTTTTATTCAAAGGTTTATGATTAGCAAAACAGCTCCAAATTGAACCTGACCATCTGAAAAAAAAGAACTGAAATTCTGAACAGAACAAACAGAAAACAATGGCTATTAATTAGTTCAAAGCATGAGGTCAGCAGAGAGACAATTATGAAATGGGACTTTAGTGACTCAACAGGAAATGTATTTTGCAAGATGAATCTGACCCATACCTCTGACATGTGGTAATGCCACCTGCCAACCCCAGATGGCACCCTAGCCTTGGCCTGCTGGGATTCCTTCAAGGACTCTAACAGCTTCTCTGCCTAACTGATCACCAACCAAGCAGTGAGTTTCCTAAATCCTGAGGCACAAATCACTGGTGGAAGCTTTGGATTTCACCAGCATTCTCCCACTTGATATGGAGTAGAAGCAAGGTTCATCATGGACTTCCCTTTTCCTTCTGGTAGCTTCTGCTTCATCTACCTCTTGCTTGAATGGAGAGAAAATGTCAAGAGTGAAAGAAGAACTTTTGGACTTTTTGAACCCAGGAGTCCTGTGTTCCATTTTGTCTGCACTTTCAGCAGATCTGGTGGCTCTAGGTGCATTGGATGAAGGCACCTAGCTCATTTTACTACCTCGATCTCAAGCACACCTAACATTTATTGAGTAAACATTATACAGCAGGCTTGGTACCAGATAATTAAGCACAGGCCCACTCTAGGAGCCAATGGTTTATCAGTAAGCTTCCCCTCAGACTGAAAATCAGAGACAGCAAACACAAGCAGTGAGATATGGAAAGTTCTGGGGCTGGGTAAGCCCTGGTTCAAATCCTGCCCAGGCCACTTTGACAATCCTGGGTAAACAGCACACCTGCAACACCAGTCCCTATGCTCTCCAGGCTCACTAAAGGATTAAGGGAGGTTAGGAAGCCCTCAGACCAAACCTTGGTACAAAAAGAGTGTTCCCAAACATGAACCATCTACAGCAGTAGCTGAGGTGCAGCTCTAGACAGACTGATGGAGCAAATCATGATATATACAAAAGCCAGCCAGCAATGTGGTAGGGGCATTCCCTGAACAATATACACCCTGAGTTTCCTTATCTACAAAATGAGGTGGCTGGATGATTGATGTGGTAATATGAATCCAACACATTTAGGGTAATTCCCAGCATAAGCAGAAACTGTAATTTTGGGTAGGTTTATCCCACAGATTTTTCACAGGGAGTTCAGTGTAACCAGAGCTGTGCCACCATAAATGGGTGCTGACCAAAAATGCAATTGCCACTAGGCACTTTACTAAGCAACCCAGTCCACTCTGGAAGGGTTCCTGAAGAGACCACATCTAAGAATGAAGGGGAGGTGATAGACAAAATCAAGTAGCCATTTCAAAGCGAACACCACAGATGCACAAAGCAATTTTCTAAGTGCACGCAGCATCTATACAATGCCACAGAATGATGGGCCAGCAGAGAAGAAATCAGTCAGAAAGAATGCCATAGGCACTAACAGCCCAGGAATAGAATAGCAAGTCTGTGAGACAAAATGAAGACACCAGAACCACAGTGCTGCTGGGAATGAAGATGGTGCACTCTCTGTGGGCTGTGGGAAAGAGCTGTGTGCCCTTTCACACTGTGCACACACATCCTCTGGCTGATACTGCAGG